AGGCAGTGTTCACTGGTACTGTTATCTAGCCACACATTTGTCAGGGAGCTATACTGGGTATTGGGCGAGATTAGGGAATATTTATGCCCTGTGCAGGTTTTGTTGTCAAAACTAGCAAAATCCATAAAAATGGAGCTGCGTGTGTGTCCCAGCATAGCTGCCACCCACACCCCATGGAGCTGCCAGCACTGCCACCCCTCTCCAGCTGCTGCCCGCTGTTACAGTGATGTTGGGGAAGAGCAGGAGAATCTCCAGCCAAAGGTCTAGGGCAGCTCTTTGCAGACTGGAGCAGTCCACGCCCAAACACCTCCCCCACCACAGCCTCCCTCTCGTGCTTTTCCCACCTACGCTGAGTGCTGTTGCCATCGCTTTCCCTTTCCTTTATCTAGCAGATTTTCATAGTAACAGTTGCTGTTTCCTCTGTGTGTGACATTTTCCTCCTGTCCTGGCAGTGAATGAAATTCCAGTTGTAGGCAGGCTGGAGACGTGGATCTCGAATGAAAATGAAATAACTTTTTGAAGCAGCAGTATAAAAAGACGTGTAAAAAAAAAAATAGTTTGATTGAAATGCTATGGGTCAAATAGTCAGAAGAGAGTGGAGGAGGGCTTGGGAAAAGGACAGTCCTTTGTGGGGCCTTGACATTTGTCTGGGGACTGGAGGGCGACTGTAACCGAGGGCTCTGGTGACTCATGGTCCTCCTGGGCCAGCCAGTCCACCCTGGGCTCGTAGCCCTGAACAGCAACACCCCTTCCCTGAAGTGTCTCTGGCAATGGTCCTTCAAAGCTCCTTGCCAACAGATGCTGTTTCCCAAAGTGCTCCTGCAGCAGGGACGTAGACTCCCCAAAGCGCTGGCACTGCCCGTGCTGGCTGCTCCTCTGGCCTTCTGTTAAGCCCAGGCTTGGGAGCTGTTGTATGTGGGTTGGCTGGAGTAGGAGAATTCCCTTGGTTCTGCTTGTTGACTCAGACTGAAGAGGTCTGGCACAGCCTCCTGCTCTGTGGGTCGTGTATTGCACGACCTGGGCACAAGGTGCTTTCCCTCTTTCTCTGCCTTAGTCTTCTGATGTGCAGTAAGGAGCTATTCAAGCATGAGTTCCAGACTCTTCCAGATTTCAGCTGCTCCCTTTACTCTGTTCTGGGTGTAAGGACACTCACAGTCTTTGGGCAAAGATGACTGATAGCATCTCTTATATTTACAGCTGTGCAATTACTGTTAATAATCATTTACATCTATCAGTGACCCACAGTCTGTGGCTGTGAAGTGCCATCAGGTTGAGGGTGTCAGAGCCCTGGTGTCCTTAGGACATGCCTGAGGGGAGAGGCAGAGTGATTCCAGTAATGACACCAACTACCAGGTTGCGTCCCTTCAGAAAGGGAGCAGCAGTTCAAATTGCTCCCAAGACAGTTCATTTTGTGCCCCTGATTATAACAAATCTTTCTTTCCTTCCAGCCAAGCTAGGTCTTGCATGCAGCTCTTTGTACACCTCATCTGGACTAGTAACCTTATCCATCAGGTGAGGGTGTCAGAGCCCTGGCCTCCTTACGACATGCCTGAGTCTCCACTCAGGCAGAGTGATTCCAGTAATGACACCAACTACCAGGTTGCGTCCCTTCAGAAAGGGAGCAGCAGTTCAAATTGCTCCCAAGACAGTTCATTTTGTGGCCCTGATTATAACACATCTTTCTCTCCTTCCAGCCAAGCTAGGTCTTGCATGCAGCTCTTTGTTCACCTCATCTGGTCTAGTAACCTTATCCAGAGAGTGAGCATCACAGAGAGCAGTGGGTGACACTCAGTGCTGCTCTTGAGCCAGCTCATGCTGTGTCTAAACTATTTTTCCATTAAAACAACAAAAAAAAAACCCCAAACACATAAACCTCAAGATGAGAGGGAATTAAACCCATGGCTGGATTCTCTGCTAGCCCTGGGGTAGCTATCAGGACACTGGTGTGGGCCACACCTGCCAGGTCAGTCTGCTTGATACAGATGTTAATTGAGGATGGAAATGTGCAGTCATCAGACCCAGGCAGGAGGGAGGGATGGAGTCGTGGGGCAAGCTGTGGCTGGGAAGGGACACTGAATGCAAGGCATTGGAGGGGAGAAGACCAGCTCTGTGCAACAGCCACATTTTGGCAGAGGAATGTTGGGCTGGGTTGGGACAGGAGGCCCCTGGCTGTCCACAGCCACTCAGGCAGGTGTCACTGGGGTGGAGCTTGTGTGGAAGGGACAAGCACCCTGCACTTGGGCAAATGACTGTGCAGAGCTCTGGGCAGCAGGGAAACAAGATTCAGGCCTTTGTTTGGGAAGGGATGCTGTTGTGCAGAGGGGCTGGCAGACCTCTGGAAGCTAAGAGATGTCCTGTTTCAACCTCGGCTCCAGGTGACTCAGGCTGCTGCTTCTAAAGTGATGGTGGTGAAGATCTACAAGAACGACGTGGACCAAGAGGTGATTGTGCGTGAGATCAGCCTGCTGCAGAAGCTGTCCCACCCCAACATCGTCAGGTGGGCACGTCTTCCAGCCAGGAGCAGTGGGCACTGGGGTGCCTGGAGTTGGCTTGGTGTCTGTGGGGCAGTTCTGCAGTGAGGGATTGACCTGAACCTTGATGGCTTCTTTTCTTTGTTTTTTTTTTGGTGTGTGTGTGTTCTGCTCAGGTACCTGGGGATATGTGTGAAGGATGAAAAGCTGTACCCCATTCTGGAGGTAGGAGTTTCTTGCTTGTGTGTGCCGTGGGCAGGCCAGGACCCCGTGGCTCATCAGGGAGGATGGCAGATGTCCCATAACACATACCTGTGTGACTCCAACTCCTGCATCTGCTCTGGACTAGCAAAATTGCCTTGGAGGGGCTTTTGGTCCTTTCTGACCCTCTGCCCCACAACCGGTCATAGCTGGAGTGGGGCATAGTCACAGGGTAGTCAAAAAGTGTTTTGGGTTGGCTTGGTACCAGCAAAGGGCCACAATGGGCCAGCCAGCAGGGAGAAGAGGAGCAGGGGTGGAGGGCAGGAGTAGGAAGTCAAGCAGACAGTGAGTGGTGGGGCCTGCAGGGTGGCTCTGGAGTGGTGGTGTGGTCTAATGGAAGAAGTACCAGGGGAGTCTCCCCTTGCTGCCATGCTCCTGGTGGCAGAAGCTTTCACTGAGCTGCTGCCAGGCTTTCTGCCTCTAGCTTGCTGCCCGTGCAGGAGGTCCACAGCTGGCTTACACAGCAGCCCCTGCAGTGGGGCCCGGGGGCCAGCAGGGACGTGGGGTGGAATTCCCAACCTCCATCCTGAGGGAGGGGCTCCCGGCTGGGCGAGGGAGGGTGGGTCACCTGGGGAGCTCCAGGCAGCCTGTGCCTGCCCACACAGCCACCTGCATGCTGTCTCTGCTCACAGTATGTGAATGGGGGGTGCCTGGAGGAGCTCCTGGCCAGCAAGGACGTTGCTTTGACGTGGAAGGAAAAAGTGGACTTAGCATCTGACATCACCAGAGGCATGATCTACCTGCACTCCAAGAACATCTACCACCGAGATCTTAACTCCAAGGTACGTGGGGGGAACAGAAAGGGGGGACCCCCAGCCTGCTGAGGGTGACTGTGTTAGGGGACCGTACAGGGACCCCTTTGGGCTGGAACCAGGAGACCTCAGGCCTCATGCTGCTCCTCTGCTCCGTGTTAATGCCTCTGCAAGGAGGGACATTTGCTTGTTAAAACCTGTCGTCACGTTTCATTCATCGCTGGCCAAGCAGGAAACCCAGAGAGAGATAAAAATATATTGCTCCTAGTGCTGATTCTCCTGACAGAAAAGAGACCAGCTGGAAATGTGTGCAGGACTGACGTGGTTTTATTTATCTATGGTTGAGCCTCCTCTACAGGAGGAGCTCTGCCACATGTAGAGATTTCCTCTCCTGCTCACAGCAAGGAGGAAGCTCTTTCTGACAGGCGCTGGCCGTGGGCTCTGGGAGCAAGTGCCACCTGAGGTGATGACGTGTGTGTCTTCTCACTCAGGGGCAGAGAATCTGTTCTTCCTTCAGCCACAGAGTCCAGGTCACTGGTTTTGGATGGCCACCTCCACGGGTGTCACTCCTGGGCGGAGTGCCAGCTGTGTGTGTCTGGGGGCAGGCACTGGGTGTAATGCCGACGCACCTCACGTCCCTGGTGTGTTTGCCCTCTGGCTGGGAGGCTGCTTTCCTCAGCGGGGGCTCGTGCTGCTTGCTGGGGGCAGGAACAGCACTTTGTCTTCCCCCTCCTCAGGTTTGTCCACGGGGACAGGCTTTGACGTGGCTCCTCCTCTGCCAGTGGTACAGCAGCAGGCACACGGTGGGGCAGTGTGTTGTCCATCTCTTCTGAGCTGACCTCGGGGGGATCTGCAGCACACCCATGGCAGCCCAGGGAGCGTGAGCTGAGGGGCTGGCCACCAGCCTGGACCTTACCTGTGTGGGCTGACACCAGAGGCTGGCTTGGTGGTTCATGGAAGTGGGCCCTGCAGGTCCTTGCAGCTGATGCTGGAGAGGCAGCCGTGTGTCTCTTACAAGCCATTTCTGCTGGTGCCCCGTGAGCTTTTTAAGAGAAACTTGAAATACTGATGAGGGTCGGCAGTGGGGAGGTCAGTCAAGTGTTAGGGTCTTGAGGGACATCAGTACAGGAATGAAACTCACTTTTGTCATCTCAGGCTGTTTACTTGGCTCAGTTACTAATGCTTGCAAACACCAGGCAAGGCCAAGGCCAGAGCCTGGTTAACTGACCACAGGTTTCTTGGCCAATGTGCTCTGAAGTCAGGTGAGATACAATTTCCTATTTGGTGGTGACTGATGAGCTCAGAAGCTTTCCAGATCTGCTTGTGAGGAGTGCTGGAGGTCTCTGCTTTGTCCCTTCCCTCTCACTGTGGTGGTTCAATCCTGAAAGAAGTTCATTCTGCCCCAGGGCAACCTAGGTGACATGCAGTGATGGTGACTGAAGACAGGGGAGAGAACTGGGTACATGCTCACCTGAAATCTAGTCGTTAGTGACAGCCACCTGCTGAAGATGCCTCCTTTCTGCTCTTCCCTGGGAGCAGGTGCCAAGAAGGGAACCCTGGGGAACTGAACAGGCTGAAACCACCAGGGGTTTGAGAAACCTTAAGATATTTTTATAGGAATTACTCCAGAAAGATGTGTTTGGGATGTGTAGCCATGGGCAGTGAGGTCTGTGGCTGTGACCCCGCCCACCTTTGGCTGAATGGTGAATAAGGTCGATGTGCATGTTTTGGGGTCTCTTTCAGATAGAAGGGTGTGGATCATCGTGTTCAGGGAGCAGCTTCTTCAAAGGACTTTTCCTGGCTCCCAGTGGGATCAGTCCACACCTGATCTGCTCTGTGCCCTCCACGTGTGCTGCTGGGATGCAGGGCTCTGGCAAGGGCAGAGCCTGCAGTGGCAAGGAGGGGATGAGGGGCTCCATGAAGTGTCCAGGCCCTTCCTCACCAGATGTCTCATGCTGTGCCCTGTCCTTTCAGAACTGCCTCATTCGAGTGACGACACGAGGCCGTGAGGCACTGGTGACTGACTTTGGGCTTGCCAGGGAGGTGGTGGAGCTGCCTGTGAAGGACGTGGAGAGGAAGCTGTCTCTGGTGGGCTCTGCGTTCTGGATGGCTCCTGAGATGCTGCGGGGAGAGCCCTATGACAGGAAGGTATGGCACTCCTTCTGGGTTCCTGTTCAGCCTCAGAGCTCCGGAGTGAGCATGAGAGAGGGCTGCTTGCTGGTGACTCCTCCCAACAGGAGAAAAGCCCTTCCCTCCTCTCCTGGGGAACATCACCCTGCTACCTAGACCTTTGCTTAGTAAAGCTCTGCTTCAGAACTTGGAAATCCCTTATGTGGCCTTGTTAAGTTAAACTCCAAGGGAATTGGATTGCTGCCATGGGCAAACACAGTGAATCCTCTTTGAGGGAAATAATTGGTGAGCTGCATCCTGATGAGCCTGTTGCAGGATCTGTAGGGGTGCCAGAGCTGGAGTGTAAGCACCAGACACATTGAACAAAAGCACAGGGTCAAACTTTCCAAAGATGAGTCTGGACTCCAGGTGGGGCTGTATTGTTTCTGGGTGGGTTCTGAAGCCCAGAAAAAGTTCAGAGGTTTGCTGCCTCCATCTCCAATGGGCTTTTTGATGGGCTTTTGTGTAACTGATGGAAAGGTTTTGTTGTTGGCACTCCCCTTACTCATGCTTTGCTTCTGTGAGTGTCCTATCCCACATCCCCCTCTCCCACCCCTCCTGCAGGTGGACGTGTTTTCCTTTGGCATTGTTCTCTGTGAAATCCTGGGCAGGATTCCAGCTGACCCTGAAGTGCTTCCCAGGACTCAGGTAATGATTCCTGCAGCCAAACCTGATGGTGCTTTCTCCAGGGTATGAGATTGTGGCTTCTGCCTGGACCAGACAGACCCGCACACGAGTGTGTGTGTTCACACTCAGATTTCTCTCTAGAGTGTTTTTCCATGACAAAATCTGACCTCAACATTTTCAGTGCACAGGAGCTCAGATAAACTTTCAAAAAGTTTCAGAAGTTTTTTTGGATCAGCAATTTGAGATGAAATACTTCTGTTAAAGACCTTAATTCCAATACTTCATTCCACTTTGGTGTCTCAGCTCCCCCCTGGAGCAGCAGGTTAAACACAGCTTTCACCACGGCTCTGTTCTCAAGTGCACTGCAGTTAATACACAGCCCATGTGGAAATGGTGAGCTTCCCTAAACACATGGCCTTTCTTGTTCCAATATTTCCAGTGTTTCCCCTCCACAAAGTGAAACAGGGATGAAATATTCAGTGGGAAACCAGGAAATTGCTGCTTTCCAAGGAGCAAAGCAAAGAACTTGCAGTGACCAGAGATTATTCCCTATTTCTGTGAGACTGAATAGGAACTAATGAACTAATATTCTATCTGCATTCACCAGAGGAAGGAGAATTACATATCAGAGAGTCTGGAGGGACAAAGCTGTAGTTATGCAAACAGCTGGCTGGACCCCTTTGATTCTCAGTGGCTTTTGGAAGACCAGATTATCTGCAGCTCCTGTCCTTGGCAGCCACTGCTCAGCACCTGGTGCTGGTTCCTCTGCTGGTTTCTGCTTCTGTGGCTCCCGTTGCCTTAGTCTGAGCTTTTTGGGGAGGACACGTTCTGCCCTGCAGGGACAGCACAGAGCAGGCAGAAGGGTCCTTCAGTGTCCTGGCTCTGCTCATGATGTCTGTGCAGCCCTGCCAGAGCTGGTGTTGCCTCAGTACCTGTGCCTAGCCATCAGCTGTGATGGAGACCCCAAAAACCAGGAATATTTTGTGCTTTAACACCTTGAGAAGGATGAGGAGCTTTCAAAGGACTCTAGAGCTGAAATCTTCTGTGTACTCTCCCCCTTTCCTCACAGGATTATGGCTTGGATGTTGCTGCCTTCCAAGGCATGATCAGTGAATGCCCCAAGCAGGTGATGGACCTCACTGCTAGCTGCTGTCGGGTGAGATTCTTGCTCTTACTGTTTCCCTTTGGTTTTATTGGATTTGCATCACACTTGTATGACACAGGCCAAAACTGTTGTGAACTCTGGAAGCTTGAACCTGCTACTCTCAGTGCTAGCACACAGAGCTCTGTCACTTGACCTGTGAAGTGTTGAGATCTTCTGTGCTTTCATCCACCGTGCAGTTTTGCCCCTAGGAGAACTCTTTAGTTTGTGTATTATAGCCCCAAACATCCCAAGTTCCTTTGCATGTCGACCCCAGGGTGGGAAGCAGGTTGGTGCTGGTGTCCAGCCCCTCCTTACCCAGGCTGACAGAGGTGACTGGAGGGCACTGCCACCAGCCCTCCAGCAGCACCACAGCATGGTCCTCCAGCCCTTTTGGCTTTAGCATAGAAGGGGATGGTAAAAGCTGTGGGGCCTCCCCACGCTGCCCAAAGCCACACACAGCAGAGAGGAAGCGAGGACCCAAAGTCATCTCCAGGAGGAAGAGAAAAACCAAGGCAGCAGCCTTTCCTTTGCTCTCCAGGCACAAGAGTGGAGCTGGGTGATCATAATGCACCTCACAGGTAGGAGCTCTGGGCAGCAGATGGAAGTAGATGCTCGCATGGGTCCTGAGGATGTGTAAATGACATGCCCTGAATCAGAGCAGGGACTCACAGACCAGCTGGGTCAGGTCTTGTGTCTCTGATGAGCAGCTTCCTAATGCCAGGGGATACAATAACAGGTTTCTGCCAGAAATGGCTCCTGGGGCTGTTCTCTGCCTGGGTGTGATGTGCAGGCTTGAGAAGTTTCTGATGCACCTCCCCAGGGCTGGCTCCATGGGGTCAGGCACAAAGAGCAGCCCCAGGGTGGCACGGTGTGGGCTGCCAGCTTACTTTGGCTGCACTGGGAGGGCTGGGGGATCACAGTGCACTGAGGATGAGCTGCATCAGGGAGACAAGACATTGAGATCCTGGCTGTCATGAAAAGCTCAGGAAGTTATACCTCTTCCTCCTGATACCTACCTGCAGGCTTTCCCTGCACAATGCCTGCCCCTGCACCATCTGAGTGGACTCTGGGATGAGCAGTTCCCACACCCTGTCCATGCTGGGGCATGCTAGGCTGGTTTTCAGCATCTCACTGCCTTTGAGTTGTGTTGCACCATAGACCCTGTCCTGCAGCCCCGCCAGAAGGCTCCACCAGCAGCTGTGTGACCCAGACCAGTGCTGCTGGTGGATGGATGCCACTGCCCAGCCTTGGGGGAGGCAGCAGAGCTGCTGCAGAGCACCCACCTCATGGCCAGGGGCACCTCAAGGCCAGGAGAAGACTCTTCAGCTTTGCCTTCTCGTTGCAGGTGGAGCCGTTTAAGAGGCCGTCTTTCTCCCAAGTCCTGGAGGAGCTGGAGGATGCTGCAGAGACCCTGGAGCCCAGGAGGCACAACCAGCTTTCGGGCTGAGCTGCCTGCCTCCTGTGGGGCTTGTCAAGGGAATCACCCAAACTGTAAATCAATGGTCTAGGGGGTCAGGGGTGAAGAAGGAAGGTGGAGAAGGGAAGAGCTATGTGGTGCACTGGACTTTATTTAATCATGGTCTCAGTCTATAGTTTCTTGGATAGAAAACATGGTTAAAAATGGAGAAGGGACTTACCAAGGATATATTTTTCCTAACTAAGTTTTTTAACAGGTGTAGTTAGGACACTGAGCAACCTTTGTCTGTTTGCTTTTTAAAAGCCTGGAGGGACTTGGCATTCCCCTGGGGATACTTTCCAAATCCCCAACAGAAACATTGTCCTCTCCTGTTTCCCCACGCCTCCTAGAGCCAAGGCCTTTTCCTTCCCCATCCCTGTGGCCTTGAGGAATCACCTCTCAGGGGGCTGGGGTCTGTGCAGTGAGAAGGAGAGGGCTTTGGGGTGCTTGGTGAGCCTCCGAGGCGCCTTATATTTCAAAGCCTTAAAGCACCCATCTGGTGGCCTTGCAGGAACAGGTATGCTCTGAAAGGTCCCTGGCTGGGTCTTCTGGCATCTCGCTCGAGGTGCCCCCAGGCGTGGAGGCATCTGGCAAGGTTTTGGAGAGTCAGCCAGGACCACCCCTGGTGTGCTGACCTGTGCTGTCGGAGGCAGTGGGGAGGGTGTGCCTTACTGAGCTGGGAACTAACCAACTAACAGCTCCTCTCAGAAAAGATCCGTCAGACACGTGTCCCAGCATCACTGCTGTCTGGGTTGCTCCCTGCCACCCTCAGCTGGTCTCAGAGGGGGAGGGGTCTGCCCCTCCATGAGCAGTGTCAGCAGCTTGGGAAGGCAAAGGGCAGGAGGGCTGGGACCAGCATCTTGCTGCCTCTTCTGCCTGGCCCAGCACCCATTGTCCCCTTGGCTTGTCGGACATCCTGCAGGGCCCAGGGCTCAGGCAGCCACCACAGACTCTGTTTTGAGATTGTGTTTTCTTCTGTGGGCCAGAGCAGGGGGATGGTGCTGCAGATCCAAACCAGAGGTGGGAAGAGTAATGGCCAGAAGTGGTCTGGCATTGCAAATGAAGAGAAAGAGAAGAGCAATCGAGTCCTTGCCCCCAGAACAGTGGGTTGCTGGGTCATTGGTCTGACAGACGTGTTCTGCTGGGACCAAAGTGGTTGTGAGTGTAAATAGGTGTAATGTCTGTATAGTGGTGGAGCTGTGGCTCTGTTCGTGTAGCCTGTAAGCTCTTGGAGCAAAAGATCATTCATTTGTCCACCAAAAAGTATTTGTACTGTGTTTAGACCAGTGGGCCTTCAACCTACTGCTTGAAGGCTGTTCTCCAAGATAGTGGTAGACCTACCTGGGGGCCTCACCTCAAGCTCTTGGAGCAATATTTGGTGTCATCTATAACCCAGCTTCTCTGTGCTGTGGTGCCTGCACAAGGAAGTGTCAGTGGTGTGCTTGGGACTGAGATGGAGTAGAGGACCATGGACTATTTTCACCTGGGATCATAAGGGGGCTGGCATGAAATGCACTAAATGACATCAGGGTCATCTGCTCAGCCACACCTCTGGGAGGTGCAGGCCCAGCAAATACCTTCATCCCAACTAGATACTGCCAGTGAGGGGGAAGCAAAGCATTGAGAAATAGAGGACTGAAAATAAGGAAAGCTTTTATTCCTGGAGGAGGGAGAGCAACCACTTTTATGAGTTGCACCAGTTTGGGGACTTCAGAGCAGTGGAGTGGGATGGACTGCAGACAGCACTGAGATGTGTGTGTGTCTTTGCTGAGAGCCACCAGCAGCAGCTTTGCAGCAAAGTGTGAGACAAAATTCACAGGGCATATATTTGGCTATCAGGTACTGGACCTGAGGAGCTGACTGCAACCTCTCAAGGCTTCCCAGGCTCCCCTGGGCTCTACTTCTGTAGAGGAATAGACTTGAGAATGAGGAATCCAACAGGATGTCCCAACAGCCAAAGCACTGAGGATATGAAGCCTGTTCCAGAGGCCACTATGGGTGCAGGGCAGTGTCCACCTTGGCTCGCTCCCTGCCTAGGTGCAGTGCTTTCACAAAGCTTCCCCCTGCTGCTTGGGCTGCCAAGCTGGAGGTTGCTCTTCCCCTGTACTTGCTGCACAAGAGTAGACTAAAGGAAGATCCCTCAACATACTGATCCCTCAGATGGTCTGTTAGGGGCTGAACAGTCTTGTTCCAGGGCTGCTTCCCTGCAGGGCCACTCCCCTGCTGGCCACCCCCTTCCCAGAACCAACAAGGCTTGGTGCTGGTGGTGCCCCACTGCAGACTGGGCTGATCCCTCCTCCAGCTGATTCTGGACCTGCAGAGCAACCACCATGGGGTTGGACACGGTAGGAAAGGCACGTGGATACTTGGGTGATGCTGTGGTGTGAAGGAAGATCTTTTGGTTTTATTTCTCTGCTGGGGGGTAAGAAGCCTGATCAAAGATCTGCAGGTCTGAGGGCAGGGGATGTTTTCTGCAGAGAGCATAGGAGACAGCATTGGCCAACACGGTCTGAGCTGTGATGGATCAGAACTGGGTTTCTTCTGGGTTTGCCATGTGCCCCATGCACTCTCATGGTGAGGTCCTATACTGGATCTCAGGTGACTGAAGTCTATCAGATCCTTGCTTAGAAGGACCTTTGGTGCCTGCTGCAGGGGCAGGTGAGACCAAGACTGCAGGCACCATGTGGACTAGAACAGCCAATGTTGGGAATCTTCAGAGAACAAAGGTTGTCTGGGACTTTGGTGCTTCTCATGGACCAAGAGTTGAGAGCTGGAGGGAGAAGTGGGGGTGGGAAACGTGCTGACATGTCCTCCAGGTATGAGCGACTGTGCTTGGGAGCATAAAGTCCAGGTCAGTGAATTTTATGTCTTGAAGTCCTGGCACTGAACTGGAGCAACTGCAGTGGTGGGTGGAGGTCTGGGTGGTGCAGCAGGCTCACCTTTGATGGACCTCACCAGGAGCTGCCTCATCTGCCTCCTCCTTGGCTGGCTGCTCACTCCGCAGGTGCTGCTGGCAGGGACCTGGCCGTGCTGCACCCCACAGGCCACGTGTTCTTGCACCCTCCATCATGTTTTTGTTTGTTTGTTTTTATAAAAACCATTTGAAAATAAAATCCAGTGGTTCTCCTCTACATCAGCCCTGGCTGCCTTGTTTCATCCTCCTGGGTCTGTGGAAATGCCACGTTTCCAAGCACAGGCACCAAGCACAACTGAACCAACGGCGCAGGCGTAGTGCAGAGGGTGTTGGGTTTGTCTTTTCCATCCCAGCAGCCCATAAACCAAGAGGGCTGAGCCACAGTGCAATGATTTCCCTTCCCCAGCTGCAGTGCCTTTGATGCTGACTTGCACGTGGTGTGAGTTGCTCTTCAGGTGCACCCCTCTCACGGGGACACCTCGGAAAACTGGAGGAGGGTGTTCACTACACCAGGACCACTGATTCTGCTGCATCCAGACCCCAGTCACAGAGCAGTGCTGAAGTGCTGTTCTGAGGCACTCACGTGATAGTCACCAGGGTTAGGTAGGAAGAAGACCTTTCCTTCCAAAGTCCAGTTTCTTAAAGGCAGTCAGCTTCACAGCTGTGAAATCCCCAGGCATTCACACATGGCCTAAGTGCTGTGTCCCCCTGGGAAGAGCCTCTCGTCGACCCCTGGAGGCTGGCAGTGATCCCAGAGGTGCTTTGGACTGCTGGCACTTCCCACGTCCCAGACTGTGCAGGAGGATGTCACTGGAGGTGGCCTGGATCTGGCCAGGAGCCTGGCCATGGACTTGAGAGAGGTGGTTTGGCTGGGAGTTTGCTTTCAGATGGGTGTGCATCAACAACTCAGCAGAGATGCTTCCAGCCTCTTATTGTCGGGAAGGGGCTCTGGAGAGAAGCACTCCAGGGGGTCTGCTGTAAAATCTGTTTATTGCAAAGTTTTACAGCCTTTTCTAGCAGCCCAGAGACAGCCCCTGAGCCCCACGGGTTCACAAGCCTGTCCACATGCCTGAGCTGAGCTAGATTGGATAATAATCACTGCCCATGCTCCGTCCATGCACTCTGCCAGCCCTGGCATAGCTCAGAGCTGCTGTGAGAAAGTTTGCCCATGTTTCCATACTTGTCCGGGCAAGCAGCCAACAGAGTCCACTAACTATGAACTTTTGCTGTTGGATAGATACTTCTGTGAATTTTCTCAGGCTCACAAGAAAAACTTCAGCCGTGCTGACTGTTCAAACTTAGCAAAACATGCCCCCCTGCTCTGCCAGTCACAGTCCCACATCTTACCATGTGTCTGGCGCCTTGGTATGGCAGAAACCAGGTCCTCTCCCCACACCCTATAGCCTGCCCCCCCCTTCCTCTTCTGGTGACTCCCCAGCCTCACTTCTCATCATCTGCAGCAAGGGAACTGGCTGGAGAAGCCCCAGGGGCGTTGTCACTTCCAGGCGCCAATGAGCAGAAGAGTTTTCAAACACGAAATGCAAACCTGATCCACGAGCTTTCCAGGACAAAGACAGAACAGCCTGGGGTGAGCAGAGGCCAGGATCAGTCACAGATGGACTGGGGCTATTCTGCTTTTTTTTTTCTGGGGACTCTTGCCAAGAGAATGGAAAGCAAGAGGGATTGGAGTCCGTGCAGTCCCTCTCTGTGACTGCTGGGAGCATGGTGCTTGGGATGGACCATCAAGCCCAAGGACCCTCTCCTCCACATGCCTGTATCAGCACAGAGAGCATTTTTCCTGCCTTGGAGTGTTTGGGGCTCGTGCTGGAGGGGATGCAGTGCCAGCCCAGAGCTTACTGCTCCAGCACAGGGGACACAGGAGAACGTCGCTCTGCAGCCAAGTTGAAGTCACCTTGCCTAGCCCTGGTGGTGCCTTGTCATACCTGAGTATTGCCTCCACGGAGTCAGGTGGTGGTCTGGTCATGTCAGCTGGATGGGCTTGGGTAAACTGAGCCCCTTTAACATCAGTGTCCTTCACAGATGAAATTTAAAAGGTTGCTGTGTAGTGAGAGAAGACAGGAGGGGAGCAGAGGAAGGGAATTCAGCACTTGTAGCTAGGTTGAAGCTGAGGAGGTCAGCACCAGGCCAGATGTTCCTGCAGAAGAGTCTGGTTCTGCAGAGCTGTTCATGGCAGCACCTTGGGACTCTCTGAAGAGCTAGATTGTGGTTCCATCACTGCCTGCAGGGAGGTGGAGGGTGTGGGGTGTGTCAGGAATTTGTTGCTTTTCAGATGGTCCTATAGAAAGAGGCTGCAAGAACACTGGAGGATATATGTATTTGTGGATTAGACTGAAAATTGCCAGTAGTTACTGTTTAGGGTAAAAATACCTGAGAGCTTTACTGAAATGCAGTAGCCTCACCATCACTTGGTCTTTAGATCAAGGTAATGAACTTTTCAGAAGATGTGTGGGCTCAGTCAGCATCTGTGGAGCTGCTGGAGGTAGTCCAGGGTGAGTCTGGTGCTCAGAGGAGCTCAAACCTGCATCAACCTCTTCTAAAAGTCTGCTCTAGGCTGAAGGTACAACCTGTAATATCCTTTGTGGTTCAGTTTTGCCCTTAAACAACGTCATCCTTTGTGTCTTCTCTTGGCTGTTGAGTGGTACCTGTTGGGGCTGGTCAGGTGCCCTCTTGCCATATTAAACTGGCCTGAATTTCATTTCTGTTCTCTTGTGGGAGTAGTGGTATTCCTTGCCTGTCTTCCAGTTAATGCCATCAGCGTAGCTCTCGTGCACACCCAGCCAGTACCTGCCGTTCAGGTTGGAGTAGTGGCAGTCGTTGTACCACCACGCTCCCTTGTATTCCGTGGCACAGTTGAAGGAGCTCAGGTCATTGTCCTGGTCTGTCGTTGAAAACAGCATGTCCCTGTGGTAGGATAAGGAGTCTCCTGCAGAGAGCACACGTTCCCAGTTACTGCAGCAAAGGGGCACACAGAAGGGAGCCTGGTGTGTCTGTGCACTGCCACAGGGCATCACTGGGCCTGGCAGGACAGGCTTTACAAATCCTGCTGTCCCCTTGGCTGCCCAGGCTTCCTCCTTGGTCCTGCAGAGCAGGAGTATCCTGAGCTCTGCCAGGATTGCTGAAATGTGTGGAAAGCTTATCTGTGCTGTGGCTCAGGTTCTTTGCAGACATACCGAGGTCTGGGCTATCAGAGAGGGTTGCAGTGTCCAAAGCCACACAGCCCCAGAGCTAGCTCAGATGCTGGTTTCACTCATTCCTGCATGAGGGGTATTGAATTTTGCAGAGGTGGTGTTTGCTTTTTAAAGAACACCAGAACATCAGGCATTAAGAGCCCATAGTGCTGGTGCTGCAAGTACTGAGCAACACCCAAGCCCTGGAAATGCCAAACCTCATGGGCAAATGTTTCCTCTCAGTGTAACTGAAAGCAGAACTTAGCCTGGCTGCTGTAGAGCTGTTGAGAAGGTTACATTAGATGAGGTGCTGCTCAAGACCAGGCTCCACATTTACGGCTGAACCCTGTGACTGGGCTTGTAGTTAATGCTCTGGGTCACACTTTTGTGGGTGATGGGTGTCCCTGTCCTCCCCTCCACCCACTCAGTGTCTGGGGTACCGTGGCCAGTTTTAAAAAAAATTGACCCAAAATATAGATGGAGTTTGCATGACACTATAACTGCTGAACTGTTGCAAAATGCTCTAGAAACAGCCTTCCCAGGGAGCTGCTGCTGACTTACCGGCGTTTCCACCAAGGAAATCTCCTAGAAGCAGTTTGTATTTCTCAGACTCTCCCAAAACTCTGAATGAAGCATACTTGGCAAAGTAGTAGTTGTTTTCAAAGTCTCTCAGGTCAACGCGGAGTTCACAGGGTCCTGGAAGAGAAGGTGGACAGCAGTGGTGCAGGGCTGATGGTGAGTATGCCTTTGGGTTCCAGCGTGGAGGGTTTCAGGAGCCCTGAGCTAACTTGGGAGGAGCTTCCACTACCTGAGAGATAATGATTTATTTGAAATTCCTCCAGAACCTCCTGTACCTTTGATGGCTTTCCTGTGAAACACCTTTCTGATCTGACATTGGGTGCTCATGGGCATTGAGGATGTGTTGGCCTCTCTCCAGGACAGGTCATGCAGCCAGCTCATCCTCTTCCCTGGCTTCTAGTTTCCCTGTTTTTAGAGTGCAATTTCCTGTATGCAATGGGCTGCAGGAGCCTGCAGCTATTAGAATTTACTGTCAGGGCCTCAGATGGATGGGAGGAGTTCAGAGCCCTTTAGTGACCAAGAGTGGTGCAGAGGTTGAACTCTCAGGACCTCAGCTCAGGATGGAGGCAGACCTTACCCAGCGAGGTGAGGAAGTGGATGTTGTCATTCCCCAGCCAGAACTCTGTCAGCTGGTTGCCAAAGCCTCGTTTGTATGAATCCCAGTCTCGCAAGAAGTTCACTGACCCATCCCAGCGCCTCTGGAAAACCTGCAGGGAAGGAGAACCTCAGCCCCACCAGGCCACCCTCCTCCAAAAGCATCTGCAGCACCCAGCTGGCACAGCCCCCCCGAGGCAAACGCTCTCCCTGCTGAGAACACTCTTGTGGGTCCCTGGGGATCAAACCCCAGGAGATTCCCTCACTCACAGATCTCCTCCCTCTGCCCTTGGAAGCGAGGAGGGAAGGATTTGCTGACTGAGGCAGGGAGTGGGGCTGTGGTGCTCAGCCTGCTCCTAGAGAGAGCTCCTGGGAGGATCCCCTGCATCCTCAGGGATTCATGCAGGCTTGCTGACGTGAGCCTCAGCTGACCCAGCAGTGTGTGTTTTCCTCCCTTTTTGTTTCCATTTTGGTGCCATCCTTTTCAGCCTTAAAAAAAATCCCTGTAAGGACACAGGAACTTCTGTCTCCTCATCCTACTCACAATCCATCCTCCACCATCCGTGTCCATGTCACAGAAGACAGTGGTGGCGTTGCAGCCTTGGGGGTAGATGGTGTACCAGCCACTCAGGAGCTTCCCTCTGCCCAAGAGCTCTTGGCAACTCCTGGCTTCTGTGCAAATTGGGGAAAGAAATCAAGTGGAAAGAGTTACAGCGTGTGCACTGCATCCAGGGAGCACATCAGCCTCCTGCCCTGTGCCAGAGGCTTCGAGCCCCTCAGCCTCCCAGATGGCTCCTTGCACTGCAGGACTCTGACCCACACCTCCTGGGAGCCAAACCCCACTGCAGTGTGTACGTCACAGGGAGTCTGGCACCTTCTGAGAGGTGGTCTGAGGTGCTCAGACTCCTCTCATCTGCAGTGGCTCTTTTGGGGTGATGGAGGTGCTCTGTGTGGCATGACAAACTTGTGATCCAGGAGTCTGCCCAGGCTCAGGAGCATATGGCACAGTCAGTGTGTGGGTAGCTGGCAGGAAAGGAGAGGTGACAACACACAGCTGTAATACAGAAAAGAGTGTTCACAGCATCCTCTGTGGATTGGGCAAAGGGCACTTTTGAATATATATATATATATA